TTTTAGCAGCATACCTCATGTGGTGTACATGTCTAGAGCATCTGTGATGGATAAAGTCTCAGTTCCCTTCCCCAACTGCTTTGAGACCTTGCTGCAGCGACAAGCAGCACGCGGCACAGGTCTCACCTGGCATTCAGCGTTAGGGAGAGCATTATCGGCAGTCATGTCAAAACGCAGGACATTCAGAACAGCAGCCTTGCTGCCTGACTTCTCCCCAAAAATGAATAACATGTCAAATGGGGATGGCATTGATTCTCATACAGCATCCCGAATTGATGTTCCAATGAGATTTCACTGTATTATGCTGAAGTGATGTTAGCCTATTGGACGCTTACTCAGAAAGTGCTTAAGCACAGCTTCACATGCCAATTCTTTGAGAGTTTGTCAGTAGAAGCAGATTCACTAGACTACAAGAGAGACTGACCCCACCCCACCAAAGTCACTGCGGGAGATTTATGTTGCCAGGTGTAGCATCTACCCATATAAACAGGAAACAGCTGCTGTTAAGGCTTCTGATAGATGCAACAGTAAAATAGTTTATTCAGTCACTTTTATAAGACAGAATGGAAAACAGTGGTTTGACAGCATGACCATTAATTTACATGTTGGAAAGAGAGAATTAAAAATTGACATAGATTTAGAAACAAGAGAGTAAACAAGAAAACCTTTATCTTCCAATTTACAGAGCCTTCCACTTAATTCAATCACTGGTCAATTTTATCCTCCATTTAATTTGATCTAAACCTCTGTAACCACATCATCTGCAGTAAAAATAACACAACTTCCACCATTTATTTTAATCAATTCTAATCGCAGTAGGCAGCTCTTACTGGTAATTCAGTCACTGACTACAAAAAGCTGTCATTTAATGAGGCAGGTTGAAACTCTGGACAAGGAACTGCCCACAGAAGAGCTAAAAGTTAGCTCAACACAAAGATGTATTATTCAGACAGCATCACTGACATGGTAAGTGTTACCATGTGCTATGGGAAGCTGTGCTACTCATCCTATGAGGGTCATGCTGATAACAAGATCAACTGCTTACGCCAACCAGCGTGACAGAAATGGACTTAATTCAATCCCACAACCCTTACTCAAGCAAAACTCCCACCGACTTCAGTGAGAGTTTTGCTTCAGGGAGGAATAAAGACTGCAGGTTTGTACTGAGTAAATTCTAGCCCCTTGGTCATTTTGATTACATTTCTATTCTGCTTTCCTTCGTTGCCCAGGTGGGCATAGAGAGAAGTTCACTGCTATGTACTCATGAAGTATCTGACAAGGGGTGGCTGGAAAACAAAAATTCTGTTTTGCAAGGGAGTTTGAGGTTCTGAAATTTGTTTTTGTTCTGCACTGCAACAGAAGTGAGGCCTTTCGAAATAGTTCATGTGGGTTGGGCAATGACCTGGGATGTGGGAGACTCAGGATCAAGTCCCTGTCCGGGATCAGGCAAAGCAGGAACTCTACCCCAGGTCTCCACATCCCCGTTTAGGCCTACTGGCTAGTCTAGACTGGGTCTTCCTGCACTCGGGAAACCTTCCTGACAATATTTTCATTGAACCCTATCCATTTCCACGACAAGTTTCTGTTTTGATTAAGTGACATTTTCCAACAAAAAACGTTTCACTGAAAAAGTTCCTGACCAGATCTAGGTCTGACCTACATTGTGTGGGGAATGAACCCTTCCCTGCACTAGCAAAACCCAGGGTAGCCTGGGGTTTCCTTCTTCTCAGACAAAGAGCCCCAGGATCTGGCGCAGATGCTTTAATCTGGAGCTTTCTGCAAGCGGCCCATCAGAGACAAACACTCGCTGAAGTTCGGAAGGTGGAGCTTAACCCCCTATAAATAAAAGAACAGTTTGATCTCTGTCTCTGCCAAGGCTGGATCGCGGCCAAATGTTTCTGGAAACTTGGATGGAATAGTACAAGAAGCAAAAATGATAAAATGAGCTGAGACTGACAGTGATTTATAGATGTAATGATCGTTATTCTGTATTCATACTGTTTGCTGTTTTGGAGTAATGTTTCCCTTTTTAATAAACCTTGCCGTTTTTCTTATTTGCAAGGCTCCACTCTCCCATCATTTAACACTGACTGCTGATCAAAACCCTAAACTGCAGCAACAATGGCACTTGCAACATATTGCAGTTCACCGGGAGAACACCAACAGGGGGAGTGGAAGAGGGAGGGGAAGAGAGATCTTTTTCTAAATAGGAAAGCAGCACACAGCTAATCATTCTATGGAATGTATGTGTGTGGGAAGAGCAGGACAGTACAAATGCAGAAAACAGGGGAGCAGAACTTAAGAGGTATTTACATGGTCTCTTACAAAAAAAAGTGCCATGTTATGACAAGATCATCCCACACCTTAATAGGAATCTGTATTCTAATCTTTTTACTCCTTGTTCTCTACTTCCTTCCTTCTTTCGATTGCCCACAATCTTCTTTCACCCCATGGCTTCAGGCATTCCCTTTACCACAAAGGGCTTTTGTTTGATTTCAGAATACGCCTGCTTTAATCTCAGATTTATCTAGCCTAGACCTAACCTACCTCTGGCAAAAAGGTTTACATGGGGAGAGAGCAAGCGTGCACATAATTCACTGAAATAACTCTCTGCAAGACTTTCAGAGCAACTGGAGCTTAAAAATGTCTCTCCAGCCACTGTCTGAATAATTCAAAAATGTTAAGAGACTATGAAAATTTCACCCATAATAATTAATCAGGTCTCTTTTATGACATTGGTGCCAGGTTAATTAGTAACTCGATTAACAAGACTACGTATTACCCACTGCAAGATTTTTTAAAAACAATTTACTCCATTTAACAAATTAACAAGTGTAAATGTTCTCCACAAAAACAGGTTTTCTGGCTCAAATCCACTTCAGCTATGCTATCTCTCACTTTGTGTATCAGACTCGGATTTTTCTTTATTTATCTCAATAACACTAAAATAACATATTACAAGATGTGTGCCTTACAAACTGCAACCAAGTCTTCAGTTGTTTGAAGATAAATATATGTTTTACAATTATAAAATATCAAAACTAACAACTTCCTGTTTTAATGAACGATGCAGTTTAATTCTTAGCTAGAAAATGTAGCATTTACCTCTTCCAAAGGAAGCCCATCATACCTGTCCAGTTTGTTAAAGGGCCATGGTCATATTAGAAATCGCATTTTAAAACCACGCTGTTCCTTAGACATGTCTTTAACATCACCATTGATTAAAGAAAAAATGTTACAGATTTGATCTATTTTACCTTGTTTACATTGTGTACTTTCAGCATCTTTCTCAACTTGGATGATGAAAAAAGATCAGTCAGTTTCACTTTTGTTATAGTCAAGAGTATCTTGCACTAGCATTATGCTGCAAAGTTTGGCAAACTGCAAGGGGTTGCAATTCTGTGTTTGTGGTCCAAACACTGCAGGGGAATGCTGAATTTAAACAACTGTTTATTACACAACAGCTGAACTCTCAATTCTATATAAGGAGTTAATCAATTTTAAAACCTAACATTTTAATTCTAATTTATTTTCATTTACAACCAACACAAAAAGACATCTATCCCAAGCTGTAGGGTCCTTGAAAACACAATCAAAAATAAAAACAAAACCCAGCAGCAACCTCAAAATGGCAATTACAATTTTACAGCAATGGAAATATGAAGAGAAGCATCCTAGATTCCCTAATCACCTATCAAACAGCATCCCCATCTTGAAAAATTCCGTGAAAAGACAGGCCTTGCATCATGCCCTGATGCCAACAAATTTAGGCTATTTTTGACCAAATAAGGGTGTGAGATCAAGGGCCATTACCTTGAAAGCAGCTCCCTCTCTTTTATACCAAAGGGGCTCTATCAAGGGCTCTCCTGATCTCAACTTGAGCCAATACGGCTCAGGAAGCTAGGCTGTCTCTCCGCTAGGCAGTCAGGTGCAATTATAGGTCACCCCAATAAACTCCACCCCAGACCCACAGGCAGCTAGTACAGATCACAAGCCTCAACCTCAAATTGTGGGAGATACAGATGGGTCCATGACAGGAGCACAATATCCAACTGCCCCCGCCTGAAATTCCATCCCATCCCATCCACAAGATCTAGTGTATGACCTGCCAGTAACCGTATGGGATAGTCCCACAGTCCACATGGTGGCCACAAACTACCACAGACACAGAAAATATGCCAACTAAATGATGTTAAAGTCACTGACCCGAACCCCACAGCTTGGAGGAATCCCAGGCAGCTCATGAAGGCATTCTGCACTGTAGCGGAGCTATCCTACCCTCATGTTACTCTGGGAATTGGATACAAGATGGACACACTGTATTCAATCCAATTTGGGGACTGGGAAATCTCCTCGAACTTTAGGACAGATGTAAAAGGCACAGATAGACCAGCTTCCAGACAATCCCTTTCTGGTTCGTGGGACGCTGAATATCCAGACAGCAACAACTGTGACATCATCTTATTTTGGCAATTCATGTGAAGAAGGTGGCCCCAATCCTTTAATAAATCCTACTCAGTGGGAACATTTTTGACCACTGAGCAGGCATGAGTCACCACATGAATTGAAGACTGGGATTCTCACTCTCTGACACTCCAGCCTCCTGAGAGAGGCAGGCAAAACCAGTGACAATGAAACCAAACATCTTGGGCCCTGTTTGTGCCTCCTCCTACTGGAACTGCTAAGCAAGGAGCCCAACCAGCCGGTGAAAGATACTGATTAGCAAGGACCAAGAGCCTAAGGGCTCTAGTGTTGCTCATCTCCTCCATGGAATCCTCTCAAGGTGACAGTAATTGTACCCTTTCAAAAGACATACTTCTGGGAAATTATTTTTCCTTGGACTAATGAGGCTCTAGCCACTGATACTCATTTGGAAAAGAGGAGAAAACTTTACTCCATGCAACAGGTTGCTATTCCACCCCCTCAAACAAGAACTCTGAGCAGAAGAAAGCGATAAGTAACCGGAACTGCATGGCAGAAGAGCATAAATCACTCCTTACCACTTCATCTTCAGTCCAACACTTCTCAATCAGTTTGGGCACAGGCTTCTTCACCAAGCGCTGCAGGGCTTTTCCAGCATCGTAGTTACTTTCATGTAGCTGAATAATAAAAACGGAAAATTATATCAACAAACAGAAGTAAAGGTGGACCAACAGTGAGGGGTGGGGATAAGAATGGGGCTTGCTTACTGTATCTACAGTAGAAATAAATAAGACAAATTTGCAGAACCCGGAAGGTAATCTGTTTTATTTAGTAGGGCAGAGAACATTAAAATAGGCAGACTTGCTTTCTACTTTCTGAAGTCTCTTGTAAATTTTCCCTTTAGCATTTTTTAATACTTCTAACATGAGACATTCCAAGGAAAATAAAAAGGCACCAAAACAACTGTTCTTCAAAGGGGTTGTATCTTATGCAGTAATATCTTATTCATATTATCTAGTCAAATGGAACAGCTCATATTTTGGAGGTAACAAGTGCTTTGAGGACAGAGAGAGAGTGAAGTTTACTCCTTCAGAAAATTGTGCTCATTTTTATTGCACAGATGAGAACAAGAAGTTGCTGGAGAACAAAGTGAAGTATGGAGAAGCAAAATAACACCTCGTGGAGACAGCTGCAGGAATACATATAAGGAACTTGGGATCATTAAGCTGACAGCGCTCTCTCAACAATGCATGACCCTGCTGTGTGCTGGGGCTACGTTCCACTATCAATAAATACAGCTGGGGGCTGGCTAAGGCAGATGGTTGGTAGAAACAAAAGTTATAACAAGAGAATGTTGAAAAAATGCCCACTTTCAACAGAGAGTTTAAGGGATAAAGCTCTGATACTCAACCCTCAACAGGGACTGTATTTGGAAGTTGGCACAAATATATAATGTGTTATATGCAAGTAAAGTTAGATTTTGGAACATGGAGACTGATCAGGAGCCTGTTTTACGTCTTTGGGGGGAAATGTACCAAAAGGAAAAGAGAGGTATTCCCAAGGACAACAGTAAACCAATTATCTCCACTCCTACAGAAGAGAGGGAAGTGATGTGTGGAGACTACAGGTATGTCTACACTTAAAACACTACAGCACCTGCACCGCTGTAGCACTTACAGTTCGGACACACTACGGTGGGGAGGGGTTCTCCCACCACTGTAGCTAATCCACCTCCCTGAGAAATGGTAGCTAGGGGCTTGTCTATACTTGAAACACTGCAGCAGCACAGGACTGCTGTAGCACTTCAGTGTAGACGCTACCTACGTCGATGGGAGGAGTTCTCTCATCTGCATAGGTAACCAACCTCCGCAAGAGGTGGCAGCTAGGTTGACAGAACAACTCTTTCATGGACCCAGTGCTGTCTACATCAGGGGTTAGGCCTGGCTTTGTGGATTTTTCATACCCACCCCAGAGAGATGTAACTATGCTGTTTCAAGTTTTCAGTGTAGACCAGCTCGGACAGACGCAAGCATTAGTTCTCCTGCATAAGTAGCTGGATTAGCAGTCAAAGGGGTCATTTAATCACACAGTTACACTAGCAGGAACTAACTACAGAAGCTTTCAGGTTTATTTTTATAGCAGCAGGGGGCATCAGCTCTCTGAACTCTCATCACCCAGCATACCCCGCAAGCAAAGGCCTCTCCATTTCCACCCCATATTCTCAACCCCAACCATCCCTGTATCACTCCACCCATGTCCAATCATCTTTTAGAGAGGACCTCTCTACAATTACTTCAGTCCCAAGGCTGCCAACAGAAAGAAGCCACCTGGTATTAACTGTGACAATGCCTTTCTTGAGGAGGACACTAGGTTCTGGATTGAGACCAAAGCACAATCATACAGCTTACCAACCAGCCCTGAAGTGGTAGCTCCTTTGTCAGCATCAGCCTGGGTTATAACCGAACTGTGATTTTACAGGGCAAAACCTCAGTTTTCCTAGGTCAGACTGTGCCATTGATTTTGAGGCAAAGAGGAGTTCAGCGTCAAAAAACAAACAAACCCCAAAACCACACACACAGAAACCCAACAATGGCATGGTACAGCTCCTTAGGTTACCTCAGCTATTCCTCTCTCTCCCACCCAATCCACAGATACCAAACATATAAAGAATTTCTCCAGGTATTTTAAAAGTGATCCCTAATGGGGAATAAAGTGTCAAATAATTAGGGGCTTGGGGTGAGAGGTGGAAAAAGAAATAAAACCCCAACCTACCGAAGAGGCAAAAATATGAGCTGTTCGGTGGGACTGTAATATTTGTAGCCCATAGGATTATTTTGCTAGCTATTATGTCCTACTAATCCAGCCAGCCGTATCAAATCATGTGTTTCTCTTTCTGAATTAATCCATTTTATTCTTATATTTTATCAGTATTAATTCCTATGAATTTAGGATGTGTTGAGGCATATGATATGTGTTTCCTAATAATTATACATAGAATAAGTTTTGCTGAAATGCAAGAAGCCTACCGGCCTGTACCCAGTAAGATCCGCTAAATAGCTAAAAGTATAATCAGTTAAGAGTAATTCAGCATAAAAGCTGGCAACCTTTGGCACAGATAGGAATGGTCCTTGAACTTTGGGGAACCAAAGGGAGGAACTATACACAACACTGAACAGGTTTATCCGGCGTCTGCAACTGGTTGGTAACCCCAGGGTATACCACAAACCTGGAAGTCATCAAGAGAGTCTAGGTTGGCAGTTTTTGGAGTGAGATAATCCTTATTAATATATAGAGAGTAAGTGTCATAATCCACTAACCTATAGGAGAAGGGTACCCATCAATTTCTTAGGGTACAGAAATAAGATTTGGGTATAGTAAGTTGGGCCTGAATTACATAGTGTCAGGATCCTATAAAATACCTTGTAAGGATATCACAGGGAGCTCTTTTAGTCTTTAGCTCTTTCTTTTCTTTGTCCTCCTATATTCTATAGACTATCTTCTATCACGCTATCAGCTCAGCTTGTGGAGTACAGTATAACTACTCAATGTTCCTAACTATTGGGTAAGCCAGCACCATCGTGTTATCGGGCATGCCAGGAGTAAGGCTGGTCCTTCACCTCCTATTACCGTGTCCTCAAGGAAGGGTGTATGTTAAGTTAACGTACTTATAATAGGAATGTTACCACCAGGAATCTTCTGGTTGGATGTGATCAGTGGCGAGCCATAACAACTAACCCATAAAATTCAGGTCAACATATGAGCTAATGTCCACTGAAAGCCAGAACTGGATAGCTCCCGCAATCGTTAAGTTCTTTATAAAAGCTCTTGGGCACTGAAGTTACAGGAGGAATAAACTCAAGGTGTTCAAACGGCATTTCCTGTTACTAAGCTGGCATTTATAGCTAAGTATTCCACCCTTATATGTATCCTCACTGACCTGGGACATTGTCACATCTAGATATTAACTGAATAGAAAAACTTGACAGAAAAGAGCCAGCACGGGTCCAGAACTTTGGTAAGTTTTCAATTTACAAAGCAGAATGTTTAAAACCTATGAAGGCTGTGGCAAAAGTCAGCAACAGCTGGGAAACTGAAATCAAAGGTTGAAACTTGATACACGGCTCATGCAGCTGTGAAAAGAAAGCACATCTGTGGGATTTGGGGACAAAAACGTCAATCTTCACTTTGATTTCCAGGCTTTTGTCAAATTGGCCCAGCCTTACAAGTTTTAAATAGTTTTGGGGTGCGTGTGTGTATTGCTCTTTTAAAAAACAAGTTTGCTTTTAAACTGCACCACAGAAGGATGTCGGATCATACAGAATAAACAGTAACCGTTTCACGTGAGCCATTATGGTCTATTGGGTAAGTTTTTGAAGTTCTTCTTCACACAGCGCACCGCCAACCTGTGGAACTCCTTGCCTGAGGAGGTTGTGAAGGCTAGGACTATAACAGGGTTTAAAAGAGAACTAGATAAATTCATGGAGGTTAAGTCCATTAATGGCTATTAGCCAGGATGGGTAAGGAATGGTCCCTAGACTCTGTTTGTCAGAGGGTGGAGATGGATGGCAGGAGAGAGATCACTTGATCATTACCTGTTAGGTTCACTCCCTCTGGGGCACCTGGCATTGGACAGGATACTGTTGGTAGACAGGATACTGGGCTGGATGGACCTTTGGTCTGACCCAGTATGGCCATTCTTATGTTCTTTATGTCACTTCTATGTCATCTTCACGAAAAGGTAAATTTTAGATAACACACCTGAGTGAGAAACCTTCCCAGGTGTTGTATTACTGTCTCAGTTTTCAGGTCATAGAACCCACAGAATGAACAGTGACAGTCTAGAAAGATCAATCCAATCGTGGCACAAGCATACCAAAAACCAGTCTGTTTTAATAAAGGAGAAAAAATTGCTACATACGAACTGCAGCCAGTTTAAAAAAAAAAAGTCACATAATCTTGGCTAGTTTATTTTGTCTGCTAGTCCATTGTTAACTTTGGTTTTATACCTGAGCTGTTGAGCTACAGGTATACAGGTGAGCTACATTTTTCAAAATGGATTATCTAAAATTAAGCATCTACAGCCATAACTCAACACCTAAATAAGTAGCCTGTGTTCTGGAAATGCTGAGCACTGGCAGATAGCACTGAAGTCGGTGAGTAGTCAGCATCTCTGAAAATCTAGCCATTCGGGGCCAGATTGTGAACCCTAACTCACAAAGTGATAGTGAACATTTCATAGAATCATAGAATATCAGGGTTGGAAGGGACCTCAGAAGATCATCTAGTCCAACCCCCTGCTCAAAGCAGGACCAATCCCCAGACAGATTTTTGCCCCAGATCCCTAAGTGGCCCCCTCAAGGATTGAACTCACAACCCTGGATTTAGCAGGCCAATGCTCAAACCACTGAGCTATCCCTCCCCTCCTTGCTCTCATGGTCACATTAATGTCAATAGGATTACTCAGGTGAGTTAATGCTAAACAGTATGCAATATGGATCTACTATCTGGGCTTTATTTAGATACCTAAACATGGATTTAGATAACAAATTTTAAAATATTGAATTTTGGAACATGAAGACTGACTAGGAGCCTGCTTTATGTCTTTTAAAAAAAATGTACCAGAAGGAGAAGAGAGGTATTCCCAAGGACAACAGTAAACCAATTATCTCCAAAACAA